GAGAGACGAGAATGCCAAGAAAACTATATCTTTCTTTTTCTCTTGAGAGTTAAAGGATTATTTAGATACAAAGACAGCGAAATATTGGTTGAATAAAGACAGGCTTCAACAAAACAGAATTTTTCATATGCAATAAGTTGCCAATTTTATTCTGATGAATGCAAAAAAATTTATTATTTTGAAAACCCCTCACAGGTGACGCTCGGTAATCAAGTGGGCCATATTTTTGGCAAGCTTTATTTAGAACAAAGAGGTCTCTGTCCCCAAGATAATACATAGATACCTCCAGATATTGTGAAACCAATGTAAAAAGGAAAATAAAATAATTTATCCTTGTGATTTTTTAAAATTAATTTTTGATTTTCCCAGAAGTGGGCCTGGTTTTTTGAAAACAAAATTGGAGTTCATAATCACTTGCCCAATTATTTTTCCTTTCTCCAGTTTCATGGTGAAAAAGCTCCTTTAGCAAAAAGGTACTTCCAACATAATTCTCTGGGAAAACTAGAGAAGACCCCACTTATTCAATCAAATGTCATATTGGCTTCTGTTAGTCAAGCTCTTGGTGTTAATCAGCCCAAACCATATCATATGCTCCAATTTAAGGTTTTATAAAACTATCAACTTTTTTTTTTTCTCTACATTTCAATCTTAGCTCTAAATAAAAAGACTTATTTTGTAATTAAAATATTTTTCGACTTTTCCATCTTGGTATTTCTAACTTATAAAATTCAAGTTACCAGAATTTCCTTTCTAAAATTTTCACATAAACTTTATAAGGTTGACCTTATGACCTATTGTTAGAAGCAATAGCATTAACTTTTTTACTAAACCAGAAACAAAGGCAAGGCAATCCAATTTATTCTTTATTGTCTTCTCTCATTTTTCCCACAGGTATGTGTAAAAGAAATGTTTTTTGTGTTAATAATTGCAGACATCCTATATCTGAAATAGGAAGGGTTAAAATACTGGAAAAATAACTGAGAAGGTTTTATCTAATAAAACATTAAAATAACAATTACAACTAATACCGTCAACAAAGGTAAACAAAGATGTCGGTGTGCCAAGTATTTGAGAAAAGATGCCCATTTACACCTGAGCCCCTCTAATTGATTGTCTTCATAGCCGAATCAGTCGAGTCAATGTTCTGGAGAAAAAATATGATGCAAGTTGGAATCTTGATGAAAGATGACAAATTTTTTTTTTTTTTTTTTAAATCGAAGCACTGCAGGAGAATGACAGGCTAAGAAGGCTGGAAAGTCAAAAATGAATATCAGTCCTGAAATGTTGAAAATATAATAAATAAAAGTTTCAATGTTCGCTTTAGAGAGAGATTTTTAATCATTTTCTTTTTGATAGATTTGAGGCGTGTATGAAAAATGTGTATGGAAGGATCATGTATTTAAAACAATGTGTACAAGATAAGGGCATAAGCAAGATGCGCGTGGAAGACATGTAGTAGAAGTACATAAGATGTGTATAGAAGAGAGTGTGCATTAGATGTGGGCAAAAGAGGTGAATGTGTTAGATGCAGACGGAAGAGAGGTGTGTGTATGCTAGACATGGATAGAAGAGGTGTGTTTGTAAGGCATTTGAGTAGATAGGTTTGCCTATTGTCCAACCAGGACATCTTCCATGTTTATTGAACAGGTATAGAGGTTTATCCATTGTTTCCAGTTTGGGATATGGTTTACTGGTTCCTTTCTTCTATGGCCTTAATGATTTAATGGTCTTAACTTTTTGGTGACCTGACTGATCAACAGCTGCGACTTTTCATTGCAAGAGTACTGGGTTAGCAGTTTTCTGCTTGCTGCATTCTGATTGATAGTAAGGAGTCCAAACTCTTTGAAAGTACTTAGAGAGGCTACTCTGATCAACAGTTGCATAATATTGGGGTATTTGTAATGCCATTCCACACATGAGTATGTGTCCCTGCATGTATTTCCAGTGAGCAACCCTAAGGCCACATTATGCTTTAGTCTTAGCCACCTTCTGGCCAATTTGTATTGTCATTGACAATAGATAGTGATAATTATTTTGGCCTTTTTCTTCTTAAAACAACCTTCTCATGACAGACACAATGAAAAGAAATATGAGTAAACCAGTAAAGAAAATATTACCTATGTCACTCAACCTTTCTTATTGCAATATTCGTGGCATCTGTTTCAATTTCTGTGGTGTAGAATATTTACTCTTGAAATAATCTTCAGATATCTTTACACTTTGCAAAACTCATTTAAATTTTTCTATTGTTACCAATGAATTCCCTATTCCAGGCTATATTTGTCAAAAAGATTTTAGGATACATATGTATGGCATTGGTGTTTACATCGTGGGAAAATCTTCTAATTGCAAGAGAATTGACTCTTTAGTCCCCAGATGACTGTCATGTGCTTTCAGCTTTCTTCATTGCACTCTGTTAGCTATCTCTTTATTCCTTTATCACTCCCCTCCTTCTCAGGACTGCAATATATTAGACAATATATGGGACAATACTGAAATAGATCTCTCTTGACATTCATCTGTAAACATTTTTGTGTTTGATGATTTTAACACTCATCATGTCAAGTGGTTTAACCATTGTAATTTTACTCATATTCAGACTTTCAATATTTCCATTGCTCAGTCTCTCAATCAAATAGTGAATTTCACTACTCATATCCCTAATAAATCTGATCAACATTCTTCTTTACTTGATTTGTTCTTCAGCATTTCTCCTAGCTTTTTTCAAGCATCAAAACTGTCTTTTTGGCAAATCAGATCATGCTGTAGTATCTGTTGATATTTCTTTAGAGTTGTCTATTAGAAAGGAACCTCTTATTCACAAGACTTCTTTCTGTTACCAGTGAACAGATTGGGATTAATTTCGTGACTTTCTTCAATACGCTCCTTAGATTGATATTCTTAACCTTCCTATTGAGAATTGTGCCACAGAGGGTTTCTTCTTAGGTTAAAGCTGGCATTGATGCTTTTGTACCTTCCCCACAATCATCTCCTTGGTTCACATCAGCCTGTTCAGCTGCTATAACCTACAGGAATCACTTTCTCCAGTTTTACCAGTCTGATAGTTCCAATCACAACAGACACAGCTTTGTGTCTGCTTGTAATAATTGTAAATGTGTCCTCAAAGAGGTTTAGTATTTGTTTGCTGATAGAATGAGACATCGCCGTATAGCCCCTAACAAGTTTGGTTTTTGTGACTACTGATGGCTCTGTAATTGTGTGTTAAATAAGAGTCTTCTATACTTCCACTAATATCTTCTGCAGATAAGTCCTAATGTTTTATTTATAAATTTTCTTTAATTTCTACTCATGATTCATCAGGAGTACATTTGCTTCACGTTCAACATAGAACTGAGTAACTATTGAGTGATATGCTTATAACTCCATCCATGGTCTCTGTTATCATCACTGAACTTGATTCCCACAAAGCATGATACTCCTGCAATAGTCCTAAAGCAATGTGATTCTTAACAGGTTCTCTAAACTCTACAATAAATGTGTCTTGTTGCTTCTTGCTTTCCTGCTTGTTGGAAATCCTCTTATGTAGTTCCAGTCTTTAAGAATTCAGGTGAATGCTTTAGAAACAAAGTCTAGACTTTTGCCTTTGTAAAAAAAAAAAAAAAAAAAAAACATCTGATCGGATAGCCGAGTTCGAATTTCAGTCAAATCCATTACAGTCACTTACATGCTTAATACCCTTGGGAAAGGTATGAATCCTCCTCTTCTCCCCCCAGCTATGGGTAAAAAGCAGGACAGACCGAGTTATAACCTTAGATTGCAACTGGTCTACCACAGAAAGAAATGGCAACCTACTGCAGAAAAAAAAATCTGCCTCGTCAGTCATGTATCTAAAGATACATGATCACCTAAGCATGTATCACACATGGCACAAAACTGACTGACCTCTTTTTAGCAAAATACTAGAGGCTCTAATCAATTCTGGATTGGCTAAGCATTTCATCTTTCAGGGTCTTCTTTCAGATAAGTAACATGGCTTTCACGATTATTGCTGAAAGAGTCTATTAGAGGTTTAGATAATGATGAAGCTAGGACATTTAAAAAGGTTTAGTTTACTAGTCCCAAGTTGAAAGGTTATGGTATTTCTGAATCTTTGAACTCATCATTTTTACAGTTGAAATGTCTAGATGGAACCATAAGTTCTATGCTAACAATTTTTTCTCTTGCACTTCTCACTTGTGGAACTCCCTTCTGCCTTCTTGCATCCCAGTCAACTTTGATCTTCAAAAATGTACATGCAATGTCAATCATTATCTTCTGTCTTGTTAATTCCAGTTCTTTTATTGTCCTCTCTAATTAATAGTAGTTTTTCTCATATTCTCTAACACTCAGTAACCCCTTGCATCCTAGTGGCTTTATTGGCTTTGATCTTCAAAAATTTAAATGTAATGTCAATCGTTATCTTCTGTCTTCTTAATTCCTGTTCCTTTATTGTTCTCTCTCTTGAATAGTTTTTTTCCCCCCTCATATTATTTCACCCTCAGTAACCACTTTCGTCTTAATGGCTTTATTACCTTGCTCGGGGTGAAATAAGAAAAAAGTGGTGTTTATATGTGCCATGGATAGAAGAGTTGTGTCTGTAGTAATCATTCTATTTGTTTCATTTATTGTTTCTTTGCAGTTGTTGCAGGAAGTAGGAGGGTGAGGCCAGTTGACCCCTAAAAACTTGAGGAACTTTCAAGAACTGATCATCTGTACAGGGTAGGACATATAATTGCTTACAAAATGAAGTCTAAATGATAGACAAGTATGAACAGCATTGGAGAACAAAACCATTAAACGAATCCTACACTTTCATTTCTGTGAAAAACTACAAACACTGATGAATGTTTTAGAAACAAAGTCTAAACATATGTCTTTGTAAAAAAAAAAAAAAATACTTACCTGTGGTAGGTAGAGACAGAGACTGCATAACTTAAATATTATCAGTTTAGTACTGTTGGTCTACAAAAAGAAAACAAATAACAATAATTCTACATTGCTATGATCAATTTTACAAGCATTCAAGATTTTACAAAATTTTAAAAATTTATCCAGCACTTTCAGGTAGAAGATTACACAACCAATCAGCTTTAATAGCAGCATCACATAATTACTGGGAGGGAACACATTCTAATAGTTGATTTTTCAGCACACCCACGTCACTAGCAAATGTGATACAAGATTGGGATTTAAAGTGTGTTTAACGGCAATACTGCGGAAAGATTGCTCAAGATCACCTTGCACTTTCCCTTTTGGAGATGCCTCAAGAGCCAAATAATGACACTGGGCCCTCTATCAAAGGATGGTTACTGCTTGGGGTTGTCTTGAACTTATTTGAAACTTTCACATCGAAAGTGCCAGGGACATACATTCTAATGGAGATGAAATGGATTTTGTCACCTGTATTCCATTCTAATGGAAATCAAAATTGACATTTTCACATCCTATACTTTTGGCATTTTAAAATTTAAAAAAAAAAAAAAAAAAAAATATAAAAAAGGATCTTTATAAGTCAAAGTAAAATACAAAATAATTTGATTAGGCAATAACAATTGATATTTGGAAATTGAAAAAACGAGTGTGTATATTTGATTAACGAGCAAAAAACGAAAGCTTGTGGTATATTAAGTAAAAACTTGTTTCTATTTTTGTCATTTAAACTTCATACAGAACGATCATTTTGAATGTACAGTGAGTAAAGAAATTTAAATAAACAACCTAACAAAGAGTAATTATAAATTTTAAAAAAATGTATTTTCCTGCTTTTTTTTCATTTGCTCTTTTAGATTTTAGGTGAGACCACAAACACTCAATATTTTGAACACGTAACTCCCTATTCATTGGGTGGACAAGATTTTCTTTGTGTTTAATTACAGAATGTCTATAATTTTTTACAAAGTATTTCTATTGATTAGGCCTCCTTCATCACAGATCACAATTATAAAATAAAATTAAAAAATTGGAAAATTGATAAAAAATAATCTGAGAAGAAAATGTATAATAAAAATTATGTTTATTTAAATTTTCTTGTTCTATAGTTCAGTCATTTTTGAATATAAAGATTTATTTTCATATTTCATCATAAAATGGTAAATAATGTTGCATTGGAGTTGGTCCACATGTTTTTATAATCTTGTAAATAAACAATATAACAATAGTGTGAAACATTTTTGTTAGTAAAATTCTAAACATAGCTTTTTAAAACAATAAACATTGCTGGGGAAGTTGAGGGAGTAAACAGTGCCGTCACAAGAAAAAAAAACTCTTTTGACACACCATTTAAAGGTTAAACTTTGCCAGATTGTTTTTGTTTAAATAGAAGAGTGAAAAATGCTCAAAGACAGTACAGTTACAAGAATGGAAGAGTGAAAATGCCTTGTGCTGTAGCATACCTACGGACAATAATGGGTATGCCCCCATTCCCATAAATCCACTAGTAAATACTGTATGTCTGGGTCTGCAGTTGTAGATTCATTGTGGAATTCACTCAACTCACTTCTAGCAGTTGACTACTTCTATGCGCCACTGATAAACCTTATATGTGTTGTTCTAGTCTTAAATATTATTGTTCATTAATAAACTTTGTGTGATTATTCTATTCAGTAACCTTCCCTAGATTACAACACCTTGCCACTCCCAGATTCCTTATTGAAATAGGTCACCACATGGTAATGGGTAGTTGGATCAACCTGTTGACATCCATCTTCTTTATGAACTTCATCTTCCTTCCCTTCAAGAAACGATACTACTACTACTATTGTTTCCTCCTCCCCTGAAATAAAATGAGGAAAAGAAACCTAAGCTATTCATTCAGTCTGTGATGCAGTGCTGGGGCCTGAAGAATTGTCAATAGAGCATAAAATGTCAGAGACAGCACACAAAAAGGATCCTGTGTGCAAATAGACCTTGCCACCATGTCCTATAAATGCTAAATTGGGATTATGTTAGGTGAATGTGGTGACCATACCATTCGTCAGAAGTCTCCAGACTGATCCTCAAATTCTGGGCAACTGATGACACAGTAAATTACCCTGCTGGAATCAACCCTCCAACTCATTGTGGGGGTACACGGAATCCATGAATGGCATGCAAAAAGCTCATGAAAAAGAGCAACAAAGGGGTCACAGGCTGATGTATTCAGGCAAACCAACAGATCCAACTTATGCCAGCATTATGGACCAACCAATAGATCGAACTGTGCTTTGCTAACTAGAGACCATGACCTCCTGAGTCTGTGCCACACCTAAACCCTACCATCAGCCACAAAAAATAACTGCAAAGACTGGTAACATATGGCATGATTCAATGAGTCACTAACTGAACCAAGCCACATGATGCCAGTCTTTCAAGGTTCAATTAGGGACAAAAGGTAAGGTGTTGTAACATGATACTAACAAGGTCACTGGTAGATGGGTCTTCTGCTCCCACATCTCCTGGGAAGTAAAGAACACTGAACTGACTGGATAATGGAACTGCTAACTCTTTCATTGAATAGGAATGTGATTTGAGCCAGTGTTGCTTGTCTGTTACTGTAGCTATTTCAAGATGAACACTTCTGGTCATGATCATTAAGAGCTTTTGGCACCATTTAACATTATCTTTAGATATTATGAGTCATAACTTTTGGCACATCAGTGTATAATAGACATATGGGTAGATATAAATAATAAATCTAAACTTATTTCTATATTTATTATGCATCCAAACAGCATGTATCTCACTGCATTTAAAAGGTGAGGGCCAGGGTCAATCACTGGTGCAGAGATATCAAAAAATACAATAAATGCATCACTTATACTATAGAAATGCATTGAAAACAAGGCGGAGTATAATCATTAATCAAGGATTAAGGTGATATTACTTCTGTCTTGATAAGATCAAATTGGCAGCTGGTCTAAAAAATGACCTAATCTGTTGTTAACGGGAGTAAAGAATGGCTTATTAATTTTAACATCTCCCTCTCTATTAATCACCTGAGAGAATCCTTTCTGCTTTCCATCAACATGACTGATCCTAATCTCCAGGAGAGTAACTTGTTGCACCTTCTCGAGATAACATTCTTTGCTGACACTGCTCGGTCTGCTACTAAGAAAGTTGGTTCACTGTGTCATGCTAGATAATTTTTCTCTCCAGAATCTATCTTACATATCTATAAGCCTACCATTTGCCCAGGCTTTGACTATTGCTGCCACATATGGTCCAGTGCTCCTGCTATTTATTTAAAACTCCTTGATATAATCCAAAGAAGAATCAGCAATATTTATTGGTCCTTATCTGGCATCTCTGCTTTCAGTCACTTTCCTATTGTAGCTTTGCTGTGCCTTTTCTGTAAATACTTTCATGGTAACTGTTCAGATGAGCTCTTTGTTATGGTACCTGGGCTTTATGAATTTAAGTACAATACTAGATTGGCAACAAGGTCTCATCAATTTACAGTTGAATTGGCTAGATGTAACTGTAAGTTCTATGAAAACAGTTTCTTTTCTTGTACTTCTTGCTTGTGGGACACTCTTTCAGCTCCATGCTTTACAGTCAGCTTTGGTCTTCAAAAATTTCAATGCAATGTCAATCGTTATTTACTGTCTTCCCGATCATTCTTCTATTGTTCTCGTTCACTTTTCACTTGTGGAACACACTTCCAACTCCATACTTTCCAGCCAACCTTGGTCTTCAAAAACATAAATGCAATGTCAATTGTTATCTACCATCTTCTTGATTACTCTTCTACTGTTCTCGCTCACTTTTCCACTTGTGGAACACTCTTCCAGGCTCCATTTTTTACAGCCAGATTTGGTCTTCAAAAATTTAAATGCAATGTCAATCACTATCTACTGTATTTCTGAATATTATTGTTGTTATCGCTCCTTAATAATGTTTCTGTTTTCTAATTCTTTCATGCCCACTAATCCCTTGTGTTTTAGTGGCTTTACTGCCTTGCATGAGGTGAATTCAACTAACAGAATAGAACTATTATATCTAAAGGTATGGCAGATATTTGAAAACACATCTTTAGAAAGCTATGTGACCAATTTAACTAAAAATCTAGTCTCTTTTTTCAGCACCACCATGGAAGCTTTGATTCTAATGCAAGAAATGAAAAAAAGCAGGCCATTCTTCTTCTTCTTTTTAGTTACTAGATTCAGAAAATCCATCCATCTTAAATGGGTCTCATTCTTGCTTAAGATAAGAAAAGAACTCCTGGCTTCTGGCAAAAATGTGTTTTCAGTGGCCAAAAAAAAAAAAAAAGAAAAAAAAGTACATTCTTGATGGTTAGACATTGTCAGGAATGGCAATTTCATTCAGTACGTCAATGGGATCATCTAAGAGAACCTCCAAAAATCAATTAGGGTCATTTCCAATTGGCTCTCTGTGTCATAGTCAACAATCAGATGCACTGCGCACGAAGACATCAGATATGTTAGAAGTATAGAGTTGAAGTAGACTTTAGAAAGAACCAGAAACCCAATCCTAAACAGGAAATAAAGGATAAACCTCTACTCCTGTTCAAAATGGGAAGATAGACACTCACTTGGATAACATGCTTGTCCACAAACAGAAACATTGACTGCAAAGCATTGTTGATGATCAAAGCTGACTTCTGGTTGCGAACAGCAACATGCAGCAGCTGCTTCTCATATTCATGGTGTGCAAACTCAAATACAGTCTGAAATAAAACAGGGGAACAAAAAAAAGATAATTAGACGCAAAATTAATGACATCTAACATCACATATAAGATAACTTCTGCTAATGACATTATTACAGAGTTAGGCTAACATAAGTACTGATAATCTCCAGCATCTCAATAAATATCAACTTACTAGTGTCGTCCATGGACTAAAAGGACATGGCAGAAGAAAGACATAATCTATTTAGATTTATTTTAACATTTTACATGCAAATGTTATTTGATGGAAACTAGTAGTATTGAACTATTTTGTCTTATTACTAATGCTTTGCCTAGTTTTGACTTGCATAGTGTTTGCTTAGTATTATTTTAGTCCTCTTCTTTTTCTTATTGTTTATTGAGAACTCACTCAATTCTGTTTGTTGAGCATTTTTGTCAATTATACAACAGTTACTTTAATAGAATAAATTATGAAAATCTTGTCAATGAATATAATCTTTTAGTTTTATACTTTCCAGTTAATAAATGTTAGAAAATTTGAACATCATAAATAAATTCTATGTACTTTTGTTGCAATCTTTTCTCAGAACTTTTGAGACAGAAGAATTGAGTGTTAAGCAAATTCTTTTAATGATCATCTTTCAAAACCTTTTAAGTTGGACCTTAATAAACATTAACACACACGAGAAGGTACTGAAAAAAAAAATTTTCTAAAGAAAAAGAAATATTTTAAATTAAATATGCTTTCTTGTTTGGTTATATTTGGATAAGTGAGTTAAGCCAAGAACATTTCAGCCCCTCCTGCCCCATATATATATATATATATATATATATATATATATATATATATATATATATATATATATAGCGATGTCAAAGATAGTATGAAGTCAAAACTGCTGACAGTCAAAGGGATATTGAGACATTTAAGGCAAGCAGACTTTGCAAAAAAGTGCTCAATATCAAAGATATATCATTAGTAGGATTAAGATGAGTCAAATTTTGTCACTTGAATAAAGACAAAAGGAAAAGTATTCATCACCAATGAATTTTGTCCTCTGATGGGCTTTATCAAGGCAAATGTAAGGATCTTATTTTGCTATGTATTTATAAACAGAAGTTTATTGTTAGGTTTTCAAAATTTTAAAATTTAATAATGCTCATAAATATCCTTCAGGTGAAATTCAATGTAAACTATATATATATATATATATATATATATATATATATATAATGAAAAGAAACTTAATAAAATGAAAAACTAACAACCAATAAAAAAAAAAAAAAAAAGAAGAAAATTGGGAAAAATAAAACTAGGAAAGACCTAAAGACCAACACCTACCTAAACAGTAATAAACCGTGCTGTATGTCTAAGTTACCAAGACAGACTAATTGCACTTCCCAGTGTCACAATTTAAGAGACACATCCTCAAATATGCATTAACAAAAAAAAAAAAAAAAAAAAAAAATCACTTCACCCACATCACAACATTCTTTGTCTACGTCACAACACTCACTAGTTCTACAAAACTCACCAACTGTCTCTACCTACCCTGATGATGGCTTAAGAAAGTTGAAAGTTTGGAACATATTTCTTGTACTTTTCTTCCCAAATGAACTTTGGACAATTTCTGATGAAACTTCATCTGAGAAGGATTATTTGTAATTTGGAAAAGTCAATCATTAGAATTAATCAACACAAAATGTCTGTTATTTTTAATATTTGCCTTAAAAAAACATTTGCTACCTAAATACAAATTTCATTTTATGTCTTTGTATGTTTTTTAAAATTGATTTTAAGTTATAATATTTTTTCTACTTTTATTTGCCGGGTCATAAACTAAATACTATTTGGCATAATTGACCCAAAGTTAAATCTGTCCCTTAAAGAGACCATCAGATAAGCATGGTGCTGACCTGCAAGGGCTTAAAGGTTCCATTGTCTCCTTTCCATCGAGAAAACAGCAAGCATTCAATTTTGTCAATATCATTCCGTGGCCATAACATGAAGTCCATATCAGAAGTGCAGCCCAAGACATCCTGGGAAAATGGCAAAGAAACAAACATTAGCAAAAAGATTATCAACTTGTCATCTGTTGATCTTGAAATGATGTGTAGAATGTTGCATGTGTGTTTATGAAGAATACAGTGAACCGATAGATAGAAAAAAAACAAACATCTCAAGCCTTATTTGATATGCAACAGATTTTGAAATCCTATTCAGAAAGGAAGATGAAGGGTAGAGAAAGACAATTCAAAACAGTCTCCTTACCTTGCCATAAGTTTTGCCTATTTGTACACATTGATATTACTGATGGACATAGAAATAAATAGTGGCAGACTGGCTGGGGTGTCAGCTTGCCTAATGGCAAGTGGGCCCCCTATATCAAATAAAAATACAATAAAGAAACAAACACAGACAACTGTTTTGGTAATAAAAATGAATAAGAACTTTATGAAGTCATCTGCACACCATCAGTTATTCAAGTTCAATGTGAGAAGGACATTTTTAAAGCTAACGATCATAAAGACAAGGTTAAGAAATTTGCTTTCTGAGGAGAATTTGGAATCATACATGTTACTATTCAACAAAAAGGAATTGTAAGATGAATTGGATGCAAAAGCAATTATTGGCAGATTCAAACAATTATCTAGTGAACAGAATCAATTGCTCTTAATATAGAGAACTGCATGGAATACTCTATTGGGCTTTTGAACGGCCTACTAATGTGTACATTGGGCAGTAAACTCTTGTAAAGTATCAACTAATTATTCAAAATTTTAAAAAAATTAAAAATTGATTTATAAAATTCTGTATTTATATTTACTATCAGTAATATGTACAGTACATGTACACAGTAATTACACTTTTTTTTCCCATGAAAATTATAATTCTACCCTTCTACCCATATGTATTTTTTAAAATGTTATTTATTCATTATGAAAATTAAATAACAACATAGTTGTAGATGGGACACTTTTGTCTCTTGGCAACCAATATTTTAAGACCGAGTCCGCCACTAAAAATAAACACAAACAGTTACATCAACTAAAATTTTTTAAAGCATAAATCAAAAGCATCATTTACCTTTCTCATGGACTGCCATCTAGTGGCATGTAGCTGAACTACATCTTTATCCAACAGTTCCTTTGTGCTTTCATAAGAATAAGCTTCTTCCTGTAACCAAAAATAAATAAATATTGAGTTGTCTATTCATGCTGATTTTTAATGGAAATTAAAACACAAAACAAAATTATGTCATTAAATATTTATCCAATATGAACCATTTTGTCGGACAATCTTCCTCCATTTTTCCTTCGACTTAGAGATACCATCTTCACAGAATTTTGGTAGTTTCTCAGCAAAGAATTCATTAAGTAATATACACACAGGTCTGTATGTGTGTGTGTGTGTATATATATATATATATATATATATATATATATATATACATACATACAGCACTACCTCTTCAAGGCATTTGATGTATGCATCTATGTTGAGTTTGAGGCCCTGTGGGAAGATGAATGGCAGCATTAATGTTGCTACCAAACACCTTTGTAATCACCATTAGACTCATTCAACTCTTTCCAAATCCTCTGTACTGTCCTCAGATTGACACTCAAATACCCTGAAATATTGGTAGTGGAGCATCTGGTGCAAATTACAAGCAGTACAGTATGCCGTTTTCAAATTTCTGGTAGAGTAAATTGTGTCATGGTCGTCTTTTTCTCACAGACAGTGATCAACTGACCCAACTATACAGTGCAGATGACAAAAATCAAAAACAAACAATGTGCATGCACAAAATTATAAAACGGTGAGAATTTACTCATCACACCCTACAGAGAGGGGGAGATAGAAACAGACATATAGAGAGATCTGCCTGCCCAATAATACAAGCCTCAACATTAGCTGGCTGGTCTTCGTACCAACTAATCAGATTATTTCTTGCATTTCTTGTACAGCTGGGCGTTTCAATGGTAGTTTTGATGATAGTTTGCTGTGTTCTGTGATTTTACATTGATTTTTTTTTTTGTATCCCAAGTAAGGGCTTGTGAAAAGGGCTCTCTCTTCTTGGCACTGGAACTCCAAATGAGGCTCTGTCTCCAAGGAGTTAAAGGCTAGCATTTTGAATACTGATTTTAAAGGCTAGCATAAGAAAGAATGGTAGAAAACAATTTCTCTACTCTTATGACCCAGCTTTGTGTCCTTCTTAATAAATATCAATATCCAGCAAAGATTATATTTTGTTGATATTCCAGTGTTTATTTACATCATCTTCAGACATATCAAAATAATAATGATTAAAAAAAAGAAGACAGACAAGTGAAACTCACTCTAACACCTCGAAGTATATTTTCCTCATAGTTGTTGGTCATCACAGGGAAGACTTCAGCCACTTCAAATAACGCAGAAGTTTTCTTCTGAAAATAAGAATTGATTTAAAGAGAATTTAAATAATAATCAAGAGCTATGTATAAAATAGAAAGGTTAGTAATGAATTGATCTATGATGAGCAGAATTTTTTAAATGTTTATAATGATGTTTCTAATCTAAATTAAACAAAATAGAGCCAGGAAAATAAAACAATAATAATATTGTGTCCAACAAAATTGCAATCAGTATAAATAAAAACATGAACAGAAAACTTAACAGTCCAGATAAATAAAAGAGAAACAATTGATGCAAAAATCCTCAGCACCATCTTTTGCACAATCTCAGGGAAATTTTAGAAGTATGTTTAGAAGTTTACACAAGTGTTTATTGCTTGTGCATGCAGACAAAGGATTGTAGGAAAAAAACAGATTGGCAAAAACACAATACATTTTTTTTAATAGTCATTTCTTTTATGCATACATACACACACACAAAATGTGTATGTGCATCGGGTTTCAATTCCGGCTTAAGGCAATCGGATGTCTAGCCACACTGATGAGCTGTGATACAGTGAATTAGTCTGTCTGTGGATGACAATATATATGCCCCCAGAAAATAAATTCAATTCCAGTTGAGCACTGTTGAGAAAAAGCACGAGTTTTGTAAACAATGATTACTACTGCTATACTGCAAAGCTCGGTCATTGGTGTGTTTATTCAAAGAATGAATACGTAAAAATTAACGTTTCTCTCAACCAGGCACTGATAGCTCAGGGGTTTCGAATCCCTGCTTGAGGCAATCAGATGTTTATTCACACTGATGAGCTGTGATACAGCAAAACAGTCTCTCTGTGGATGACTATATATATATATATATATATATATATATATATATATATGAATGGCCAAGTGATTAGAACATCCGCATTCTGACCATGAGACCTGGGTTCGAATCTCATCATGTTCGATTTGTTGGGAAGGAGACTATCTGATGTTATCGGATTGGTGGGGTTGATCTCAGCATGTGGCACCTCTCAAAAGTGCCTGAAAATCATACCATGGATTGACCCAAGCTTTGTGAGTGAAACTGAAGCCAAGAAGCCACCTGGCAGGCCTAGGAAAACTACTGCATTGATAATGAATCAACAAAGGATCGATTTGCAACAGCAACCGCTATCTCTAAAAGAACTAATGCTAACCTTGGCATTAAAATATCAAGGCATACTATTTCCCAAAGATTTAATGGAATAAATCTGAACAGTCGAGTAGCGTCTATGAAGCCTTACATTTCTAAAAAGAATCAAATGAGCCGATTGAAATTTGCCACTGACCATGCCATATGGACAGAAGAACAGTGGGATTGTGTTCATTTCAGCAATGAGTCAAAGTTTAACCTGTTCGGTTATGACGGGAGAAGGTTCGTTTGACGTAGTCCTAAGGAACGATATTTGCCTCAATGCACTAAAAGCATTGTTATATTTGGAGGAGGAAGTGTGATGGTGTTTGGCATGATTTCAGCTGCTGGTACAGGACCTCTTGTTAGGCTACACAGTAAAATTAACACAACTGTATACAAGGAGATATTGAAAAAACATGTTGTACCTAATTTGAGAACTGCAATTAATCAATCAGCTGTATTTATGCAAGATAACGCGCCATGTCACACAGCGAAGTCTGTTAAGACATTTCTTTCTGAGGAGTATGTTACTGTTATGGAGTGGCCTGCTCAAAGCCCATACATGAATCCTATTGAGAATGTTTGGCAGTTACTAAATGAAAAAGCTAAGGAAAAGAATCCAACAAACGTCGAAGAACTATGGACTAATTTGAAAGGAGAATGGGAGAAAATATCCGTTAATGAATGCAAGACATTCATTCGCTCATGTAGCAAAAGATGTCAAGCTGTTATTGAAAGTAAAGATTTACACATCAAGTACTAATGAATTATGAACGCTATTTTCATTTGAATATGATGAATCCATTAGAATTGTATGATTTTCTTAATCACTCTGATGTTTTTGATCATCTATTTTTTTCAAATGTTATATAATTATTCTTATAACTTTATCAAAATAAGTTTGAGCTTTATATTTTGGAATTATATAATTTACCTTTATATCCTTATATTTTATTGATAAAATGTTCCATGAAGCTTTAAAATAAAAAGTTATTTCACATTTAGACTTTTTCTTAACATTGTTCTGATCTTTATGCTCGCTACTGTACAAAAGCAAAGTTATCATTGATTTATCAAAGCTTTTAAATTTATTAAATTCATTATGTAGTTGAAAGGTCAGTCAAATCATATGGAGGATACAAAGAGTCATAATTCAAAGTATGGTAAAAAGTGAGTAATATTCAAGAATATTTTTTTTTAAATGAATATTGTTTAGGTTGTGATTAGATTGTTATGGTACAAGAAGGATGTATGTGCTGTACATATTCAAAAACATTACATACTGTACATATTTGTGTATCATGTGACTTTTGAAGTTAATTTTAAGGGGGTTGCATTATACATGAAATATGAAATTAGTGTATGTACTGCTGGCCCCAGTTATGCCATTGACCAAACTATATATCCATTTACTGTAGTCAAAAAGTACAGCTGTATTTAAAATAAACATGATTTTGATAAAACTGATGTTTTACTTAACTGTATCCAATAATAATGCATGTAATATTTACATAGTATTGTATTATGAAATACAAACATAGCAAATGCACATCTTTTCTATTGTTTATAACGCTTATGGCTGTATGTGTTTATGCAACGAGTATCGCATTACTAACAATACATTTATCATTCTCTTCTACTTTTTTTTAACTAGAATACCTGATAAAGATATAGAGGAAAAGAAATTAGTCTATTGTAATTTGGTCTCTCAAAAAAAAAAAAAAAAAGAAAAAAAAAAAGGGAACTCACACGATACACAAGATACATGATAAAATCATTTTTTATAAGTGAAAATTTGAAGGTCGCATGATTATGCGAGATTGCACATTACATGAGTATATATATGACAAATGAAAAAGTCCAATTCACTACCTCCAGAATATTCTGTTGATATTTTTGTAAATTTATTTTGGCAAGAAAACTATAAAAATATTCAGCATATAAGACTGAACCAATATGTTTTGACACATTGTACCCAAACAGAAGTCAAATTATTTGCTATTGTAACAGAGTTGATGAATCAAATTTAAATACCAAGTCAAATTATCTGCCTTAGACTTTACTTCATATTTCTAGGTTGTAACAAGATTTTTTTTAATACATTAGGTTCAACAACAGATTAATCTGCAACCTGTTTCAATGACTGCTAAACATTTATCTCTGTCAGATAAGTAATAGGCTGCCATAAATAACACCATTTCATAAAAGCTGTTTCAATGTTGAATACTAGGGTAAAAAACAAGATAATGTACATGAGTGAAGAATACAAGTGACTAACTGAATAGAAAGTCAATGCTTCAATGGTTCTAAAAGAGAAACCAGACTATTTAATTTAATTTACCTCCACCTTTTTGTTTTCTCTTATTTTCTCATGGAAGATTATTGCTGAACATAAAATTGTAGTAAAAAAAAAAAAAAAAAAAACAACCCAACTAGTAGAGACTAAATAGCAACACCTTGATAAGAACAATCAAAATCCCTGTGCAAGGTGATTGTTGAAGAAAAACAAACAAACAAAAAACTAACCGAAACCCAATTACCTACAAATGTACTTTACTGCCAGCAAATTTGTTGTGTGGTTTCTAGGTCAAAAAAGTTGGGTTGATATTTCACCCGACTGATTATATACATGACAGCAAATTCTGGTCGGAGGGGAGAGGAGAGGAGAGGAGGAAAAAAAACAATAAATACAATCACAGCTGTAGTATAATGCTGAGCACATTTGAACCCAGGTGTTGGATGCCCATTGGCTTGAACAAAACATGACTAACTACCTAGACTTAAACTCAAATTACTTTCTGCATTAACAAAATATTATTGGAATAGAGAAAAGAAATTTTAATGATTCAGTAATAAACTCCAACTTGATTTTGTTTCATTTACTTCATGCTAATGCCTCTAGGAAAAGCATGAACACATCTTCCTTCAGCTATGAGTTAAATAGCAGGGTAGATTGGGATTTCTTGTTTTGAGACAGCAACCAGTCTAGGAGAAGGAAAATTGAATTCAAAACCAATCTCAAGAAGAATGGGCTCTATTAAGCTACCTAGTCTAAGACACACCACTGCTGCTGTACGTGCAGGATGTGCGGTGCCCTTATTGTCAAGAATTAAGGCAAGTGTTACTGACAGAGCTATATAAGTAATCATGCCCAGGTAATTTATTTCAACAAATCTTTTTAGTAGAGTAAGAAAAAGAATTGGAAATAAGAAATCACTCTCCCATCCATATCCCCAGGAGATATTTTCAACTGAGGAAGCCTGAAAGATTAAAGAAAAACTATTTTAGGAATATAAACAGTAAATATTCTTAATTACTATGCATTGTAGATTTTAATCTCATCTACCCCAATTAGAAATTAAATAGGTCAGACAAGGTTTTATAGCTTTAATTGGAAAACAGCCTATGAAGTCGATAAATAACTCCATTATCTTTCCTAAGAACAATTATAGCACTGCATAGTTTTTAGATATTAAAGGAAAGGAAGCCGTGGAGAATAGCAATCAGTTAACAGCAAACTAGTAAAGGAAAACTGGAAGAAAGGACTACCTTTAATTGTAAGAGTACAGAATGGAAGATTGTCATCAAAAGAAGCATTCCAACATGAAAACTACAAAATGGAATGTTAAAACCAAACAAGTATGAAAATTTAAATATCTGGACATGTTTTAACAAAGGACGGAAAATGTGATAATAAACTCCAAATTTCATTAGAAACAAAAAGAATGCTCAGCTGCTACATAATCTCAAGCCTTCTATAAGGTAGTGAGTACTGGACAATTTCCTCACAGATGAAGAGGAAACTTGCAGCATCAGAGATGTGATTCTACAGAGGAATGCTGAGGATACGGCGGACAGAACATATGAGTAA